GCCAATCCTGCCGCCGCCCCCGCTGCCGCCCCCCGCCCACAATGATGATATTGATTATTGTTGTTATTACTTGTTCTTGGGGTTTTCTTGGCAAAATCTCCACAGGGGTTTTGCCATGGCTTTTCTGGGGCTGAGAGAGTGTGCATGCATATTTTTTATTTTATTTTTTAAAATTTATTTATTTATTTATTTATTTATTTATGGTGCTTCGGCCCCCCCAATTGTCTGAGGGACAGCAACCCGGCCCCCGGCTCAAAAAGGTTGCCTACCCCTGCTGTAGGTAGAGAGATTTTGTAGCACCTTTGAGACTAACTAAAGAAAGAATTGGCAGCATGAGCTTTCGTAGACTTAAGTCCGCTTCCTCAGATGCATTTGGGAGCCCTGGTGGTGTAGTGGTTAAATGCTGGTACTGCATCCACTCACTCAACAGTTGCACTTTTGTGAGTTCAATACTAAACATGCGCTCAGGGTCGACTCAGCCTGGCATCCTTCCAAGGTCGCTAAAATGAGTACCCAGCTTGTTGGGGGCAGTTAGCTTACACATTGTAAACTGCTTAGGGAGTGCTTAAGTGCACTAATAAGTGGTATAGAAATGTACTTGCTATTGTTATTGCTATTTCAGGAAGTAGACTTAAGTCTACGAAAGCTCATGCTGCCAACTTCTTTCTTTAGTTAGTCTCAAAGGTACTACAAGATCTCTACATATTGGATCTAGAGACTAACACAGCTATATCTTCGAATTCAAAGGTTTCTAGCACTGTTTCTTTGTTTGCATCCTTATTTAGCTCTGGTTGTTTTCTAATGATGTCTCTGGCTACTGTACAGTAAAATTTCAGTGGATATCTGCACCAGGTCTTTATGTCCCACATTCTTATTACATTAGTGTCTCTGCTCAGTCCTTCCTGGCCAGGAACAAGTGAGCATTCATTTGCTGCCCTTCTACATTTTGAGCAGTAAGATGAGGGTTTTTTTTACATAAAATAATTCACACAAGCTTCTCCATGTCATGTTTCAACTGCATAATGGTGTGGAACAATTCTCTGGATGGTCCGTCAGCACAATCCACAGACATAGGGGCTATCCCTCCCACACCAGCCCACGTTGCAGGAGTTTCAAGCTCAACTTTTTTTCAGTTATAACTGCTCAGTGGGACAATAGTGGATCCTGAAAATGTTTTATCAATAGGACCTGTATATTGCCTGTTCTAATGCAGCTCTCATGTTCATAGATATGGATCTTTCCTAAAAAATTATATATCAGTATTGTAACTTGTAAGGGCATATATTGCATATATGCCTGTTGTATTACAGGTAGACAACTCAGCATTACAATATCATTTGTCATACAAATGGTGGGGGAAAGCCTTAGTTTTTTGGCAGTTAGAACAAATACTGCCTTTATCACAAGGAAATTGGCCCTTAACCCTTTTTCCATCTATAGCAGGGATAAGAATTATGTGGCCCTACAGATATTGTTGGACTGCACTCTCAACACACTTTGCCTTTGGTTATGACCAGGGCTGTTGGAACCTGCAATCCGACAACATCTGAAAGACCACGTGATTCTCCCCCCAGTCTATAGTGAGTGTACTGAATGATGTGAGTGTACTGAATGATATTTCAGTTTGCTTTGTCCTAGCAAGCATCTTGGAATAGCCCATTCTGTCAGATTTAACCATTTTACTGCCCTATTTTGGATTGGCTGAATGTCTAGACTGCTGTCAAATATGTACAATGCATTGCAATAATCCAACCAAGAAGTTAATATTTACCTGTGGGTAACTGCAGTGTAGCTATATCAGTAGAAATAAAGTTGCTGTTGGTAGATACATAAGCCATTTAGGTGTCCATTTATGATACTGCAGTAACTGCATTATGTGCTCTTTTGAGGACTAAAAGGAGAGATATAAACAATGATTGTAGAAATAAATAAATTATGTCAACAGAAGGGTTTTGTTTCATCTTATTGTGCATGGTTCAGAACAGGGTCATTTAACAGTCTCAGACAGCCAGCATAATAAAAATGTGCTTATTCTTAGATGTTTCCAGCACTATTTATCTTAATTTAGATGCACCAGATGACCTGGGAAGTTTGTGGAATACTGGTTGGCAAACCAATTTAGTGCAAATGGTGGTAATTAATAAGTCATTAGCTGCTAGCTGGAAGGATATGGGGCTGCCATTATCAGTTTGGTTTTCATAGCCAACTTCATGATAGTATGTCATCAACAGTAAAGTTAAGGTGTGATAGTGGCAACAATAGCAGCTACATTTCTATACTACTTCATACTGAACTAAGCAGTCTCTAAGCAGTTTACAACATGTAAGCTAATTGCCCCCAACAAGCTGGATACTCATTTTAGCGATTTAAAGGATGCCAGGCTGAGTCAGCCCTGGAGCCCCTGGCTGGAATCGAACTCACAACCTTGTGGCTGTGAGTGAGTGGCTGCAGTACCAGCATTTAACCACTGCACCAGCAGGGCTCCCGTGTGGTAGCTGGTGGAAGAGAGATACCTGAATATGTGAGCAAGTTAACATCTTTCTTTGAGCGACCAACAGTAAAGTTAAGACATGATGGTGGCAACTGATAGAAGAGGGATACCTGGATGTGTGAAATAGTTTAACATCATTCTTTGAGCCATATTTATCCTGCTCTCACTAGTTACTGATTTTTCAGGAGTCTTACTAGCATTCATATATCTGAGTACAATGCCACTAATTTCTACCTCAGTGGATATTACTAAACAGTTTTTCCTAATATCTAGGTAAAGAATAAAATGACAAAAGAACAATATATTAAAATGAATAGAGGTATCAATGACAGTAAGGATCTCCCTGAAGAGTATTTGTCTGCCATCTATAATGAAATTGCAGGGAAGAAGATATCAATGAAGGAAACAAAAGAGTTAACAATACCCACAAAAACAAGTAAACAAAGTAAGTGTCCACACCATACTGGGCCACTCAATTTTACTTCTGGTTGTCTCTTTCTTGTTGATACTATCTCATAAAAGTACCTAAAGCTGTTAAAATCAAAACTATAGTAATGATGTGCAAGTGCTATGTTGCATGTCTTCTTCCAAGTTCACCTCTATATTTTCTGTCTTTACTGCTATCTGAGTGTATAAAAAAGTAAGAGCAAAGACAGCAGCAAAGTGTAGTTTAGGGAAAAAGCTAAAAATAGGCAGTTTTCAATTGTTTATTTATGTAGATATATTCCATACAGTTATAATTACTAAAACTCAATCCCCATTGGGGCCAGTGTAAAAAATGCATTGATGCTGGATTGCAAGCATAATGCTGTTAGGACTTTTTTACTTTAGATATCTGGTTGCAAAACATATTTCAAGCACTTGGGGTTTTTTTTTCTGTTGGGATTGATATTATTCATGAAGCTGTGACAGTACATATAGCAAGCATTTCCTGTTCAAAGCTCAATTAGAAATGTTAAAGTAGAGTAAACTGATAGGAGGTTTGAAGAGAAATGCACAGTTTCGTTAGGGTAACTATTCTTTCCACCATTAATCTTTTAACACCGGTTTATTTTCAGTTCTGTTTTTTGCCCTTAAGAAAGTTCTTGTACTGAGCATAGATTATGTCTGCTTTGGTGAAATATAAATGAGAAGCATCTCTAAATCAGTTCTGTTTTGAATATTTGGATAGACAGCCCCTAGAAGCAAATTCATTCTTGGTAAAGCAAACACTGATTTAAAATATTCATTGAAGAAAAGCATGGTCAGTTCTCACAATAGAGGAATATGAGCAGTCTGTATTGGAATTGGTGCTTTTAAACTTGAAACTAGAATTGAGTGATGAGGTGACCATGTTTGTTGAAAATGCCAAATTGTTTAGATGGGCAAGAACAAAAAAGATTGTGGGAGAAATGGCAGATGAATTCAGCGCAAGCAGGTGTTACCCTTTTTACACTGAGGGAATCTGAGCTAGCAGCGACTAAGTAAAGAATCTTGGTAGATAGCCCAATGAAAATATTGACACCATATACGGTTGCTGTAAAAGAAGAAGAAGCTTAATTCTATATTGTGGGCATAAGTAGAAAAGGATTGAAAATGAAATAGTTGATATTATGTCGCTCTTATACAAATCAATGCTTTGGCCATATCTGGAACCTCTGTACAATTCTAATCAGTGCACTTGGAAAAGAATATTGTAGAGCTAGGAAAGGTGCAGAAAAGGAGTAACTGAAATGATCAAGACTGGCTAACTTTTCTGTGAGGATATGGAGACAGTGTCTCAAGGAAAATGTCCAATGTGGGATGATACACAAG